GAAGATTTTTTTAAAAGGCACTATTTAAACCAAGAGCTACCAAAGCCAGCTGACCAGATGCCCCTGAGTACAGCTGAAGACACTGTTGAGTCCTGACAGCTTTGGGTGAACCGATACCCCAGAAATGGTCTCAGTCAGTCAGGTTCTGCTGCATCACACTCGGTAGACCTGGGCCCTTGTGTTAAAGCTCACATCCAGAAGAGCTGCTAAGACTGGCTACTGACTCATTCCAATGTTCACTGGAGGCCTCCTGTGTCCGGGCTATCGTACCACATCTAAGTGATAAAATAAGTAAAAGCAGGGGCAGCCTTTATGCTCACTGAACTCACGGTCTGAAGGAGGAAGAGAAACATAAGTCAAATAACGAATGTAAAACTATGTATATAAATTACAGTTGTGATTCAAGATTTAAAATACTAAGATGACCACTGCCCACTTATCAGAAGGACCAAAATCCAGAACACTGACGCCACTACATGCTGGCGAGGATGAGGAGCGACAGGACCCCTCATTCGTTGCTGATGGGAATGAGCACTGATGCTTTGGAAGACAGTTTGTAAGTTTCTTACAAAGCTAAACGTACTTTGACCATGTGATTCAGCAACCATGCCCCTTGGTATTTACCCAAATGAGCTAAAAACATACACGTACATCTACGCAAAAACAGTACATGGATGTTTATACAGCTTTATTCATAATGACCTTTCAGCAGAGGAATGAAAAACTAAACTGGTCCATCCAGACAAAGAAATATTATTCAGCACTTAAAAGAAATGAGCTAATAGCTAATTTCATGGGCCATGAAAAGACATAGAGGAAGTTTAAATGCATATCACTAAGTGGAAGAAGCCAACCGAAAAAGGCTTTATACTATGTGATTTCAACTATATGACATTCTGGAAAAGGCAAAACTACGAAGACAGTGACGAGATCAGTGGTCGCCAGAGGTTAGGGTGTGGGGGAGGATGAATCGGCAGAGCATAGAGGTTTCTTAGGGCAGTGAGACTAGGCTGTGTGACTCTCTGACGGCGGGTGCATGTTATTAGACATTTGTGAAAGCCCAGGGAATGTACAACCCCAAGAGTGAAGCCTAAGGTGAACTATGGACTTTGGGTGACAATGGTGTGTCCGCGTAACTTCGTTGATTGTCACAAATGTGCCGCTCTAGTGCAGGATGTTGAAAGTGGTGGGGGCAGAGAGGATATGGAAAATCTCTGTACTTTCCACTCAGTTTTACTGAGAACCTAAAAGTACTCTAAAAAAAATAAATAAATAAACTTACTTGAACAGAATAACAGTAATAATCATTTTAAGATGTTAATTATACATCAAGAACATGGAGCTTCAGTTCATTTCGCTGGAGTAGATTTGGCATTTTCTAACCCTTTGCACTCTGGGACTTGGAGGTGGGAAGGGAAGATTTGGGGGAAGTGAGGTGAGCAAAGGGCCCACACCAACACCCGTGCGGCTCTGACTCCCTGCTGTGCTGGGGACAGCCGCAGCTTCATTTCTGCCTGGCTCTCTGCCGCATCTGGCCGCACCCGCTCCCCCTTCCTGCTTGCACGTGCTCTGTAGTTAGCACAGAGGGCATAGTGGGCACGTGTGTGTTCTCTGCTCGGAACAGCTGAGTTGCCTTCAGCAGAGAGGAGTTGAGGTCAGCACCACACACGCCTGTGCCCCCTGCCCCCTCTCCTGGCTCCTGCCAGCCACGCTCCCCCGGTGCTGAGGACAGGGTTGGCTCTTGCCTAGACATTTCTGCTCTTCTCTTTTTTGAGTTAAGCAAAGAGATTATGTTTGCCATTCATGGGGGTTACTCAAAACATCAGGAGTCTGCAAACATTCTCAGGCTTTGCCTTACGAAGAAACAACTGCTTTGTTCTTGCTCCTCTTGTAAATTGGGAAAATATGGGGAGGTCATCTTAGGGTGCCCCAGTGAAGGTAAAAGCTCTCGAGTATCCACTGGAGCCTCATCCGTGGCAGGCGTTCCTGTCCGATTTCCCTGGGGGAGGCTGGGTGGCTGGATAGGACAGCAGGCTCCTGTGTCACGGGCAAGTTTAAAATCCAAGTGCTGCCGCCTTCTGGCAGCGTGCTTTGGGCAAGTTGCTGTAGCTCACCGAGCTCAGCCGTCCTCATCTGCGAGGAAGGAAACATCTGCCTGCCTGTCTCACTGCCCCCAGTGAGAACAGGGACAGCACAGCCTGGCCCATGTAGTCAGAATTCATTTTGTACATCATAAAGTAATAAGTATTCAGAATTTTCAAGGCTCCAAGAGAACGTATGAATCAGCTAGCCTCTCGTCTTTCACAGATAGGGAAGTGACCCTCGGGGGGGTTAAGTGGACTTTCCCAAGTTAATTATAAACCAAAGACTAGAATCCAGCACTTCAGTTTTTGAGTCCAGGCCTGTTTCCCTTGTGCCACACCACCTACCCCCTCAGTGGCTTTTCTCCTTACCTAAGGAGACACCTAAGGAGCCCCCCTGTAGAGGCCAGGATTACCTGTGGGGCCACTGTTTTGTTACGTTGGGCCAGGAGGGAGTGCGGTATATCACGGCACATGCCAGGGTTGCCGGCACCCGCTGCCAGCCCCAGGGCCACACTGCTCCTCCTACAAGCTCGCTGACTCCAGCTGGGTGTCAAAGCATCAGAATGTTTGCGGCCAGCACCACAGCAGCTGGGAGAGACACTTCCTCACCGTCCCTTCTGCGGAAGCCTCCAGTCCAGCCTCCCCAATGGGAAGAGGAGCTGTTGGGCACAGAACTGGCTTCTTACTTCCACTGAGACATGAAAATAAGACACAAAGCCTGGGGAGCCTCTTTCCAAGTAAGGGAGACTTCAGGACTGGAGAAGCCACAGAGCCAGTCCCACAACTGAAAATAAACCCCCACAGTGACGAAGAACGTAGGGGTCTGGCTGCCTGGACCAGTGGTTTTCTATTCTTGGAGTTGGGCAGAGGAGCCTAAGAAGCCGTCAAAGAGAGGAACAGCGTGAGCATCCTCGGAGCCTCACTAGTTCTGCTTTTGCCTATTTTATTTATTGCTGTTCTATTTAAAACTTTATTTGAATAAAGACTTTTGCTGCTATGTAGGCCCAAATACACACACATTTATTTTAAGTAGACCTTTCATTATAGCTTCCCTTATTTTCCTTACTGGAAATATATACAAAAACGCAGAGGTCACATTTGGATAAATTTGCATCCTGCAAAGTCAAGGACAGTTGATGCACCCTAAGAGGAGAAGAAAGTGGGGGACTATTTGGAGAAGGCCGCAGGTTCTAGTAAGACCGGCTTCTACAGGTGAGCTTGGATGTCATGCTTACCTGCACTGCGTTTTGCGAGCCTCTGAATGTCTGTAACTGGCTTCTCTTTGACAAGTTGAGTCTCAAAGCCATGCTTCCTTGGGCTTTGAAAGGATGCCTGTCCTTGTCAGGCAATGGATACTCCCAGGTAGCATGACCACACCCTGACATATTTGTTCCTTGAGGCTCAGAAATGGGTGGCCAAGAAAAAGAGCTTCCTGTCATCTAGGCTTGGTCATATCCTTTCTGAGGGGAAGCAAGGGGAAGGCTATGCAATGACCTATGAGTTCCTGAATCTTGTCCCAGGGCTGTGCAGTCTTTGCTGATGGATTGGAGGAGATAGAGATGCCCAGGCAAGGCAGCATGGTGGGGAGGGGGAGGGCAAGGGAGGAGATCACAGCCACTCTGTCCCCACAGAAGGTAGCTGTGTTTGCAGAGAGGCCTGTCACCCTGCCCTGCTCTTTCTGAGCTCAGGCAGGAGAGTGAGTGAGAAAGCCCATCTAGCCTGGGTGACAGCATCCTGCAGGTCTGGTGGTTTCTCACTGGTCCACACACACTTGAGCTCAATGATCACGGGACCTTAGTAAGAGTCACTTGTCTTACAGAAATCAAGAGCCTTCAGCACAAAAGGATGGCTCCGGATGGCCGGGGTCTGTTTCCCTGACCACCGAGGGAGTCAAGAGCCATGTCCTTTGTAACGGATGGGCCTGAGGCAAGTCTCTTAACGGCTTGAGGTCTCCAGCTCCAAATCTGAAAAATCTAGAAGACTAGCTCGGGGCTTTCTAAGGAATACACTGAGGATAATAACCAAATTCATATCATACTTTAACCCTTATGAAGCTCTCCACATATTGAAAGCTACATGGAAATTCAGGCGCTAAAACCCAGGGCTTTGGGCTCTACATCTGGGGTTCCCTCTATTAACCCAGTCATTTCTATGATACATTTCTCTAGTCACCCTAGTCTCCTGCTTCTGTTTCACAAATACTGTGCAAGACATAAAAGATCAGCAGGATCCTAGTAACCCTCAGGAGGCAATCCGGCCAGAAAGACTTTTAATTAGCCAGGGTCCCTTGGATTGAGCCTCAGGGTTTACCTCCGACAATACCCTTACATGGGGACAGTGCAACTTCCAAGACACAGAAGGCTGGGAATGGTGGCCCAATCAAACCGGAAAGCAGGGATCTCCTGGAAGGCACCAGCGGGGAAGGTGGGCATGGGGCGGAGTAGCTTAACAGGAATTCCTAAGTCTCGTTCCTAGAAAACTTTTTAAAATATTGATTCTGAGATTGGACTCCAGTCTCAGTCTATGTGAATGGCAAATGGGGGCAGAGGGGTCGGACACACTCGTTCTTGAACAGATTAACAGGTAATTCTGAGATGCCACCTGGATTGAGACACCTGTCCTTTTCTAGACCAAGAGATAATGCCTAAATCATCCAAGAGCCTGCTGTGCTCACAAATCAGTGCCTGAACCCATCTGGTCTTTGAGTTTTCCTGTGTTTCATAGAAACCAGTGTAGGTGTTTGGGCAGGTCGTGGGAGCAAGCTTCTAAAAAGCTGCCAGGGACGAACCGCATCTCTGAGTGTGAAGAGGGCGGGCCCAGCCTCGCTTCCTCCCTCTCCCCCTCATCTGGGCTTCCTGTCGTCACAGCATGATGACAGTTACTCACCCTCACTTCTCCTTTTACACAAATAGTCTCAGACACCCTTGTTGCCAACTTTGTTGCAGCCACCTTTTAGGATAATCATCAATTCTGCCTGAAGGACTGAGGAAAGGCACCTGCAAAAGGTAAGACTGGTGACATTTTAATCTGGGTTGAGAGCAGAGACCTGAACCATGCAATGTGGGAGAGGGTGTCTACTTAGGAGTTTCCATACACTTCTGTAGTCACCCTAAAGTTTCCTGCTTCTATTTCACAAATATCATACAGGAAGTAAAAAGATCAGCAAGATCCTAATAATCCTCAAGAGGCAATCTGAGAAGAAAAACTTAGTTAACCAGATTCTTATTATCTGATACCACTTTGGGTCAGGACATTCCTGTGCTTAAACTGTTTCTGAACTTGAATTTTTGAGTGTGCTCGTTTCTGATGCTGGAGCCTTCTGTGAGAGAGGAAGTTGGAGAGATTTTCCTATGTGCTCTGGTCTTTAAAAGATTGGTCTTAATGATTTTCAGGTGAGCTGGGAAGAGCAGATCTTCCGCAGGTGAGAAAATTTCAAGTTAGTGACTTCCTCTAGAGCCACTGAAAGGACTGCTACAAACCACAATGCTGAGCCCAGTCAGGAACACCGGACATTTTCAGTACCCGTATTTCACAAGTTGAAAGGTAGAAACTTTGAACGGATACTTAGATTGGTTGCTTTCAGATGGCAGAAAGGGCATGGGGATTCTCAGAGTTCTACCAAATAAGCCTATCCTTGGTGTATACAAACCATGAATATGAATAAATATGGCTTGCACCAACCAATGAAATGTGATATGGCAATGATTCCTAATTCATGCCCTATAACTAATGATCGAGTCTCATGGACTCAGAAAGTTATAGCAACACTTTGGTCCTGGCTTCCTGTGACTGCCATACTGGCTGGGGGTCAGGTCACCAGAGGGAACTCTCGATCAGAGCTCTATCCTTGCAGGACCTGTGAGACTTTCTCCTGGTGGGGACAGGAAAGTTCCCTGGGGCCACAGCCAGCCACCTAACAGTGAGGGATGGGAGGGGATTTGTCCAGCAAATCGTCCTGCGCTTCAGGAACTCCCAGGAGATAAGTGATGTTAGACATGTAGGCAAGTGCTTCAGAAAAACGTTGAGCAAAAGCAGAATCTTAGCTGCTGGCTAACGAAGAAGTTACACTTTCTCAATTTGCATCAGAATCTGCACTGTTTTGAAATCGCGGTTGAATCGGAGCAGAGGCTGAGCTAAAACTTGATTTCCTGTGGTGTTTCCTGTGTGGGCAGTTAAGAATATTTAGCACCCAAAAGAAAGGCCTGGGCACCTTTATACCCCCCACAGGGAATGATTCAAAGCCCATTCCTTCACAACTACCACCACCTAAGGGACTCACCTTTGGGAAGTGACAAGAGGTGCCACCTGGGAAGATCAAACTCTGTGGTCTTGAGTTTCTTGCGTCCTCAGTATGACCTCTGATGGCTCAGAGGGCCCCAGGCCACTCCCAGTGGCTTGGCATGGTGCTCAGTCCATTAACTAAAGATAACAGATGTGGTCATCAAATTCAAGGCGTTTGTAGAGTCTAGCATGGAGGACAGGCACAAATAAAACACAACACACAAACACAACACAATGTCTTCTACAATAAATGGGAGAGTGTGCACAAAATACAGGAGTTTAGAAGCATGCCAAAGACTCCCTGGGAGAGGTGCTTGAGCTCATTTTCAAAGAAATCTGAGTTTGCTATGGAGACTGGGGTAATGGCATTCCAGGCAGAACACAGTGTATGCAAACCCAAAGATGTGTGAGCCCCAGGTATGTTAAAAAGGAGAGCAAGCAAGACTGGAATAGAATAAGCCATGATTGCAGGGCCACAGGAAGTGAAACTCCGTTCTCTTACTTGGTTCTAGAATCCCAGCCCCTAAAAGTGGAAAGCAAGCTCACTAAGCAGGTGGGTCTTTGGGCCTAGCCCTGGACGGGGCCACACCTGAGACATCTACACGGCAGAACGGATGGGACGTGGACTGAAATGAGGATGAAGAGGCAGCTATTTTCCTTCTTGACCTAGATTGTGTGCTCTATTAGAGTGAAAGGCAGGGCTTTGTGAAAGGTTATGGCCTCTCTCTCTGTCTCTCTCTCTCTGTCTCTCTCTCTGTCTCTCTCTCTCTCTTTCTCTCTCTCTCTCTCTCTCTCTCTCTCTGCTTCTGCTCCAAGAAATGCTGTGTTAATTCGGTTACAGTGGTTTGGTTTATGTCCCTATATTAGTTAGCCCACAGCACTTCCCATACCAAGTGAGCATTGGGTGGTATGCAGATCACTCTGGGTCTAGAGATTGGACACTTGCTCTCAGGAAGCTCCAGGACCCAGCTGCCACTGCAGATGCAGAACGTTGAAGCAAAGCCACATAGGGCAACTAGACAGCTGAGCAGAGCGGGACTCTGGGGTGGCTGCTGGGTCACAGGAGCAGAGGACCACAGCTGGAGCTCAAGTGATCAGCTTGGACAGGCTGCAGGAAAGAGAGAGATGATGTGTTTCCAAAGCCAGAGGGTGAGCACTCAGAGCGGAGGCCACGCATCCCTGTGTCAAGGCACAGAGGTGAGGCCGTGCCTCCTTCCTTATTTCCCAGCCACACTGTGGACTTCCTACCTAAGCAGTGGCATTGATATAACGTATGTATTGCCCAAAAATTGTGGTAAAGAAAAGATGCCACAGGGATACATTTATAGAATCATTTAAAATAAGAGTGTTGTATTCCAAGTGTTAGAATGTTGTTCCTTAAAGACAACCTGGAGATTGTTTAGGTTCAAATAAAGCAACTCATAGTGAGAACCCAATACATATTAGCTATTATAACATTCCAGTCAAATTTTCAGTTAAGGTGATATGTCCAAAGTCATAAAATTACTTAACTATTTAGAATAGTTCCTGATTTTCTGTGGAATGCTCTTTTCTTCACACTACACTATACTCCCTTTTCTTACAGACTTTTTATTACACAGCGTCATTAGACTGTGTTCCTTGTTCACATAAAGAAATTTCCTGTGCATCTTAACATAAGCAAAATAAAAACATAACTCAATTACAAGCCCAATTGATCTGAAATCAATTTATTTAATACATTTAATATCATATATTTAATATATATTTAATTTGTCAAACTTTTGTTTGACATTTCCTATCTCATAACTAGTTAAGGAATAGTGGGGAGAAAGGATTTTGACACCTTGCATCTTTTGAAATTTGTCCAGGTAAATTTGGACTCATGACTTAACATCCATTCTATGATAGGAGTGAAGAGAGGCATTAAAGAATCATCCATGGTGCCCTGGCCTGTGTGGCTCAGTTGGACGGACGTTTGCAGGGCCATGATTGCAGGGCCACAGGAAGTTGTGGCCCTATGGGCGTTGTTCCATAGACCAAGGAGTCATGTGTTCAATTCCCAGTCAGGGCACCTGCCTGGGTTGCAGGTTTGGTCCACAGTTAGGGCAACCAATTGACATTTCTCTCTCACATCAATGTTTCTCTCTCTCCTCCCTCCTCCCCAAAAAAGCATGTCCTCAGTAGGATTAAAATTATCCCACAGTTTGTTCTTCTAAAAGAAGATTCTGCGGTAGAATCTCGGTCCTTTATACTCTCAGAGACTTAGGTTGTCATGATTTTGAGATCAGAATCTCTTAGATCATTTACTCATATTCAGCTCTTCCAAGAGTTTCTGAGCCTCCTTGACCCAGATTTTCCAAATATTTGCATTTTACCACATTTCCTTCATCTTTCTCTGGCTTTCCTAGTAGATAGTAATTGCTGACATGGTCTCCTTCCCTCTAAGTGATGGGGTGTGTATTTTCCACAAACAAAAACATTCTCTCACATAACCACTTTACAGGGGTCAAAACCAAGAAATCAACATACTGATATAGTACTATTAACAATCCACAGATTTTATTCAGTTTCCACCAACTGCCCCATTAATATTCCTCATAGCAAAAGGAAAGTGCTGATCATGTGTTGTTTTTGACTGCCGTATCTCTTTCATTTCCTTTTATCTGCAATAGTTCCTGAGTCTTTCTTGGTATTTCATGACATTGATATCCCTGTAGAGTCCAAGAAAGTTATCTTCTAGAATGTTCTTCTATTTGGGTTTGTCTGATGTTCCCTCACATCTAGATTCTGGTTAGTCCAACTTTCTATGGAAATATCACAAGGGTGGCTTTTATTATCCCAGAGGGAGCCTTGCCCACACCGGGCACAGCCTGTGTGCACAATGGGCAGGCTTCTCAGACAGGAACTTTCTACCACAAAGTTCTGTGTATTTTTAGGGTGAGGAAAGAGAACCTCTGGTCTACTGACTCTGTAACAGCAGTAACCAGTCCTGATTTAAAGCAGCCTTGTTGTGAAGTCTACTGACTCTGTAACAGTGGCCTGGCCTTGTTACGAAGGTCCCTGTCTCAGCTCAGGTGTTAGTAGCATCTATAATTTTTTGTTGAGCTGTTATCTTGCAAAGCTTCCAAATGTTAGGAAACAAGCCTCCAAGGTCATATGGATTTGTCTATCTTCATTTCTTCTCTTTTCTTCACTTCTTCCTTTATTATCTCTTCTACAAAGAACCAAGACCTCTCTCCTGAGAGCAGTTTTGAAGGGAAAAAATTTCACCAGACCACAGTATCAGGGAGGATTAAGATGATGCTCTCATTCCTTTGACAAGGTGATAGAGAGATGAGAGAAAACTAATGTATGCAAGTTGATGGTTTTGTTGCATTTTAGCATCTTTTCTTTCCCTACAATTACTTATTAACCTCCTGGAAGAGAAGCATATGCATAACCCCTGCCCCCCTACCCCCACCCCTCTGCCACTGTTCACAGGGGCTCCTCCTGGGGGCTCTTCACTTCCTAGCGAGAGGAGTTGGGAAGTGGGAGGCACAAAACCGGAGCCTGGGGCAGCAGGAGGAACATGGGCGTTGGGGGCTGAACCGCCTTGGTCTGTGCCCTGCCTTTGCTGGTTATGGGCTGGTTGATTCTGTGCATAGTCTGAGCCTTGGATTTCCTGTTTTCAAAGCAGGGTCATTGGCACCTAAGCTACAGAGTTGACTCGAGGGTTATAAATAAGATGCGTTTATGAACTTGACACTTTTCAGGGTTCAGTGACCTCTATTATCTATCTGAATTTATTTTGACAAGAGGGCCTTAATTTGGGGGCCCTCACAGACAACAGATTTTTTTTTTCCTATTTAGAGAAAAGTTTTTCTTAACCAGGGCCCAATACTCTCCCCTGACAAACCAAAGACCTCGACACGCTCTGTGTAGGAAGGGGCAGGAAGCCAATGATTACACGGCTAAGTACCACGCTCTTCTATATACATTGTCAAATAAATTTGTATATCAAGAGAAATGAATGTAGAGAACTGTCTGGAAAGATAGTCACCAAAAATATTGATGGCTATCTCTGGGAGGTGGGGTTTCAGATTTTATGCTTTCTTCTTTGTACTTAATCATTTGAATGTTTATGTAAAGGACACACAAAACCTTTTTAAAAGGTACTCACAAAAAAGGAAACCAGCAAAGATCATCTGGCCCCTGATATATTTTATTTCTAAAAATCTAGCAGGAAACTATGTCACCCTTACACACAGACAGGTAAGGAAGCCCTGAACTTGATCTTGTAGTCAGCATTCACTGATCTAGCACTCTGGTACTGAGCCACTCAAGAAATATTACCTGATTTAACCCTCAGAACACCCTGTGAGGTGCATATGGATATCACCATTTTAAGATGAGGAAACCATGCACATTAGAAAGGTTAAGCAAGTAACCAAGGCCATGCTTCTGGTATGTAGCACTGCCAGAATTGAAACCCAGATCTGATTAATTCCATTGTTGTGCTTATCAAATTGTGTTCCATGGAACAGTAAGTTTCCAAGCTATTAATAAGTAACCTTCATTACAAGAATAGGTTTGTAAGTAGAATAGGTTTGTATAAGTAGACTTCTCTCTTAGAGACCCTCAATGTGTATTAACATGTAGTAAGTTTCTCAGAAGTCATTTATTTTTAAAATTGTTCATTGTTTTATGGTTTATTTTTATGTAATCCCATTTACTTCCAAAATTGTTCGACCGTGGATTCCTCTAACTCCTTATTGTTTGTTTGTTTGTTTGTTTGTTTGTTTGTATTAACATTTCATAAATATAACAGTCTGTATAACACCAAGCTGTCTCTCTGTGAGTCCAGGCTGGTCTCTAAATTGAGATCAGCTAAGGCTGGAGATCAAGGACTTGATAGTTTCTTAAGCTTCTATCCACCTTTAGCCACTGCTAACTGGATTACATTCAAGACTAGATTAGATGCAGCTGCACATCTGGGTCAAAGAAAAGGAAGGGATTGAACTAGAAATCTGCAAGACATTTTACCTGCCCAAACTCTTCACTTGGAGAAAACTAAAGAGTAACTTCATATGCAGCCTCCACGTCAGACCGTGGGCGTTGGCCACATCTGACTGCAGTTCAAGCACAGATTTTTCCTAGAAGCTGACGTCAGGGGATTTCTTTGCATAACCATGAGCCATGGAGCTGGACATGCTGATGAGGGCGTTGTGGCTTCCAGGCAGTGGGGTTGGCGGGGGTGAAGTGGTGGGAGCTCAGTAACTGGTCAGTCACAGTGAAGAAAGGGAAGATGGAAAAGGCTGGTGTTCCCTCTGGGTTTGCATGAAAACTGGGGCCATGTCATTGCATGTGGCAAAAGTAGCGACAATCTTCACCACATGGGCACCTCTCCTCCTTCAATTCAGAGTGAGTCGGTGTAAGTAGAAAATCACGAAAGGAGAAAGAATAGGTTCTTCTTCCTGTCTGTGGAGGAAAGAATCAGTAGAGATGATCCCGGGTCTGTGGACACCTCCTTATTTGTACTTTGTGGACAAGGAGGTTATGGGGACCTGAGGCGGTTGTCCCAGGATCCCAAGTTGTTGGGGAAGAGGTGACTCCAGGAGGCATATGGCCTGATTCCTTCTGTGTAAGTTCTTTGTCCATGTCCAGAAGATTAGTTTATTGGCAGAAGAGATCTGAAGCCAAAGGCTCCTGACTCTGCAATTGCGATGTCTCTCCACACACTAGGTTATTTAGAGTTAATGAGCAAAATTCCAGTCGTTTGTTCATTCTACAATCTTTTTTTTTTTTTTAGAGTAATTAGGTGCTGTGTTAGGCCTTGAGGGTTCAAAGGTAATAAACTATCTTCTATTCTCAATGAGCTCACATTCCAGTGAGGGAAGAGATAATTAATTACACAAGAAAGAGCTTAGTAGTACAAAGGTGGGGATGCAGAGGTATTACAGTCACGAAGATTAGACAAAATCAGAGAAGGCTTCCTGGAAAAGTGACAACACTTGACCGGAGTCTCAGGATGATTAAATAGCTAACCAAATTAAGGGGTCAGAGGGATCAAAAGCAGAAAATTCCAGGAACCCACACGAGCAAATGTAAGGAAAGAGGCATTGTGACAAGTATTCCATGTTGCAGGTTAGGTTTTAAGGTATAAGACAGGGACTATTGTCACAAGTTTGGCAAGACAGACAGGTGCAAATTAGGCAGGGCCTTTTGACAGATGTATGCATGTCTAAAACCAGCCCTGCAGTCAAGACAACAAACATTCATCATTCCCCCAAGGATATGTGTGGTCTTTTATAATCCCTTTCGTCTGCCCTCCCTTCCCCCCCTCTAACGGCCCCTCTCCACTCTTCTTTCACCCATCCCCAAGCAATTGTTCATCTGCGTCCTGTTGCTACAGGAGTGTAGTGTTCATTTTCTAAAATTTTAAAAAATCAGAATCATAGAGTATGTGTTTTTCATCTAGCTTCTTTCACTCACCATAATTAATTTTGCGATTCATCTATGCTATAGCATGTGTCAACAGTTCATTCTTTTTTATTCCCAAGTAGTATACCATTATGTAGTTAGACCACTGTTTATTTATCCGTTCACTTTTTGATGGACTTTTGGGTTGTTTCCAGGTTTTGGCTATTACAAATCAAGCTGCAATAGACATTTCTGTCCAAGTCTTTGTATGAATACATATCTTTATTTCTCTTGGGTAAGTGCCTCAGAGTAGGGTGGAGACTTATACAACCTCATCAGCACTTGGTGTGGTTAGTTTTTCTTTGATTTTAGTCATTCTAGGAGGTGGGGAGTGGTGTCTCATTGAGGTTTTACCTGACATTTCCTTAATGACTACTAACTTACTTTTTCACTCACTTATTTGTTACCTGCGTGTCTTCTTTGGTGAAGTATCTGTTCTGATCTTCTTCCTGTTTTTAAATGATTACAGTCACGAATGGATTGGTTGTTTTCTTGTCATTGAGTTTTGAGAGTTGTCTGATTGATGTTCACTGTCTTGCAAGCCATCATTTTATACTTTGTACATTTTTTGGTTGTTTTAGGGAAGAGAGTTTCACTTTCCATGATTTCAGTTACCCATAGTCAACCACAGTCTGGAAATATTAAATGGAAACTTCCAGAAATAAACAACTCTTAAGTTTTAAAATGCACACCACTTTGGTAGTGTGATGAACTCTTGCCTGAGAGGTAACTTGTCCTTTTTCCCAGAGTATTCACACTGTATATGTCACCTGCCCATCAGCCTCTTAGTAGATCAACTGCCACAGCATCATAGTGCTTGTGTTTAAGTGACCCTGACACTGCATCACAAGACCTCTGTCATTTGCCCACTACATCTAATCACATGTGCATTGCACCATCTCACATCATCACAGGGAAGAGAAGGGTGAATACAGTACATTTCAGATCATTTCAGAGAGACACTATTTTAACATTATTTTTATTACAGTATATTGTTATAATTGTTCTGTTTTATTATGTTATTGTTGTCAGTCTCTTGCTGTGCCTAATTTTATATTGAACTTCATCATAAATAAGTATGTATAGGAAAAAACAGCCTATATAGGGCTTGGTATTATCTGGGGTTTCAGGCGTCCACTGGGGGTCTTGGAACCCATCCCCTGAGGAGAAGGGGGAACTGCTAGATATCTAGATACACTTATGATCTAATTAACTGTATTTAAACTTGGTTAAAGTAATGATGAGGAATTAAGAATGACTTTGAGGGTCAAGGCAAGAAGAAAAGAAAAAGAGAAGGACAAAGTAAAGGGAAGGAAAACAGAAGGAAATAGATGTAAATATTTGGCCACTTGACGGAAGAGATTAGTCTCTTGTGGAGCAGAGGCCGCCAGCCCCTGAGACTCACCCACAGCCCGGACGAGCCCCACCTCAGGGCTGAGGTGTGGGCGCTTGACGTTGCAAAGAGGGCACAGTGGGCTGTACGAGCATCCTGTGCACCAGAAAAGGCATAGTTCTAATAAGGAAAGAAACCCAAATAATTGACTTTCTGTTTTATAGTGTCAGTCTCATGTGTAGTTTTAAAATAGAGTCACTCTATGAACCCCATTACCTTTGAGAGAAATTAAAAATTGTGTGTCTGTATCGTTAGGACTGAGGACCGGACTTTGGATCCTGATGTCCTCATCAAGAAAAAAAATCCATTTTTAAAAAATTCGAGTTCTCATTGCCATCTCCTTTCCTTTCTTCATTGGCTAGTTGTTGGCCAGTTCCGCTCTGCTGTAAGACTGACACCCGAAGGCAGCTGAGTCATGGCTGCCTCTCCCGGAGCACCGGGAACTGAAAACAGTGTCAATGTCTCTTCAGTGAAAGAATACACGAGGCACAAGTACGCACCCTACTACCATGGGGAGAGCTTGGAAGACCACATGTAGTATGTAGGTGTATCTCGGGGCACTTAAGGGACTGGCTGGTCAAGGCACCAGCCATGTCCACAGCTGATTGGCCAGCCTGCCTTCCTGAGCAAGTGCCCAGGCCCCAGGCCCTGAGCATTGGCTTGGTGTGTGTCACTGTGCCTCACCCTCTCCTAAGAAGGGCTCTAGTTCTTACTGCTAGAGTGCTTAATTCAGTGTTAAGCATCCTTGGCTGGCTGAACTGAAACAAAAGTGAGCGTCCAAGATGAACCAACTGGTATCTCAGTTCAGAGACAAAGGGGGCAGGGTGTGTGCGGAAACTTCTGAAGAAGAGTCACACCTCAAACCCATTAATGCTAGAGATCCTTGAACCCTGAATGCGTGTGTGTGCTCTGAACCATCTTGCAGAACCAGGGCACTTACATCCTCTTTATTCCCTTCCACTTTTTAGAGCAAGAATATCCCACAATGGGCATGAGTAGTTTGAAATTGCTGAAGTATGTCCTGTTTTTCTTCAACTTGATCTTTTGGGTAAGTGAGTCTCTTCTGAGCATGGCTGAGCTCAACTCCCCGCAGGTACGCTCCACTTGTCTCCCCGCCACTGAAGAGCATTGTGTGGAGTGCACTCATGCACGCCTGGGTCACGGGCAGTCTACCAGCCTAAGGTGAAGGGGATAAAACTTTCCTCCCCTCTTCACACCCTGCCACAGTATAACCTTGCAAAATTGAAAGGTACCAGTGCAGTTATTTATGGGGATGCTGCTTCTCTCTCTGGGGGCCTCAGGCAATTATGGCTTACTGCTGACATCTATGGGTGAGAAATCTGAGACTCAACACTCAACGTACTGACTGCCTCTTTTTTCTTGCTTTTATGTGTCCCCTAGACATTTTGGGAGGGTAGCTGGTTGAAAGGGAAGCAACCTTTTCTGGGGAGGTTTCACTGTACCAAATATAGCAATTGAATTTCAGATACAGAATGAGTTGGTACTCATTTTTTCTATGCATATGTTCTTAGAAGCTGGCTTCTCCAGTTTTCTGCCCAGCAAGGTGAACTTCTGAAACAGGGCCTCCCCTGTCTGTGGTTGTGGTTTCCAAAGGGAAGATGCATGTAAGCAGCCGAGGGCAAGGTGTAGGGATCTGAAGCATGAAAATACCGTGTTACTTACACATGGGAGCTTCCCCTCGTATCTGATCATGGGTAGGATGAGGCAGGAGTGAGACCTCACAGGAGGAAGCTGGGTCACCCCTTTTCTAGGTGCATGGGGAGAGCTGGGTAGAGAGGTTGTTCAGCAGTGTCCTGATAGAGCCAATGGGAAAAAGTGATTCTAACCTCAAGGAAGTGAAAATAGGAGATTCCGAAGAACCATGCCTTACCTTGGAATGCTGAAGTATGTCCTGCAATTCTTCCTTTCAGTTCTGTGGCTGCTGCATTCTGGGCTTTGGGATATACTTCCTGGTCCACAACAACTTCGGGGCACTCTTCCACAATGTGCCCTCCCTCACGCTGGGCAATGTGCTTGTCGTCGTGGGCTCCATCATCATGGTGGTTGCTTTCCTGGGCTGCATGGGCTCCATCAAGGAGAACAAGTGCCTGCTTATGTCGGTGAGCCTCTCGCAGATGTGGTGCCCTGAGTGGGGTGGGGAGACATAATGGCTTAAGACCCAGGCAAGATGTGTTTTGGCAGCTCACCTATGGGCAGAGGGAAATCGGAGGAACATAAGATTGGCATCTGCCTAAATCCTCCTCACATTAATATACATTTTCAGAATCTGACTCAGAGTCATGAACTAATGGAAAATCTAGTCTCTAGAATCTTCTGAGTGCTGTGACCCTCCTAAAATGGTGGGGATTGCTTCCCTATCTCATATCTGCACGAGATACACCACCGCAGGTTTGACCGGATTTAGGCAAGGGCCTAGGCTGCAGCCAGAGGCCTAATGTGAGGGAGGCCAGAGCTCTTCTGTCGCCCTGGTCTGCTAATTGCCCTGGGGAGCAGCTGTAAGCTTAGGTTTTGCCTCTGAGCTCTATGAAAGAAGAGCCCTTCGTTTCCCAGAACAGAGCTTGGTATGGGTTGCCAGTGGCCTTGGTTCTTCCTTAAGTCATTTGGTTAATGTTCTTTCCCTTATGGGTCAGCTCTTAGACTGGAGTCAAGAGATAGAACAAGAAAGTCCCCCTTCTCAGATAGTTCCCAGACTAATGGCAAAAGGTAGAAGACGACAGGCATGGGGAAAGGTTTTAAGGAGCCAAAACTCATGTTGGGGCAAAAAGGTAAAGGAGAGGGAATGAGTGAGAATGTGTTTTCTGTTGTGTGTGATCAACATAAAAGCAGTAGGCATCTAAAATTGGAGATAAATATGAATTATAACCATGCTTAGAGGTTCTAATCCATATTGTCCCTATCTGTACAAAATATCCCTGCTCTTGCAAAAAGGACCAGGCCCCAAACTCAAAAGACACTGGTCTTTTGCTCAACTGTTTTGATAGGCTGATGCCCAAATTGTTTAACAGATTCAACAAATGGAATTGCATATACATTATGCACATGGAACTTAGTAGACATACAGGAAGAAAAAAAACAAAGTGAGAAGACAGCTGATCTATCCTCTAGAGTCTTGGAGTCTAGTTGTAGGCAAAGAATACATATTCCTCATAAAACAAGAGAAGGCTTACGAAGGCCCGAGCAGGCAGGAAGAAGAACCACCTGCACATGTGCAGAGACATAACTGGATGCTCCCAGGGTGCAGTGGGAATGGGGGAAGAACTGGGATCCCTGCTGTGAACATGTGTCTGCTTTGCCTCAGTTCTTTGTCCTGCTGCTGATCATCCTCCTTGCTGAGGTGACCTTGGCTGTCCTACTCTTCGTGTATGAAAATCAGGTAAGTTATAGAGGACACAGCTCATTGTCATGCTGCAGAGAATGGGCAGTGGTCTGTGGAAAAGACGGCATAAAATAAGTCCTACAGTTAGAGGTAGAAGTTAAGTAGAAGGATGGAGGAAAGAGATTAATCATAATTGGGGAGGAAAATTTTCATGGAGATTATTGATTTGCGTGATTCTTTGAAGGATAAGTGGGAAGAACAGTAAAAGCAAGTTTATCTTTTTCCTACTTACTTTTCTCCATGTGTTTGGTGATATAGAGTATCTGTCTTGATGCCTAAGGGAGCCCAGGCTTTTCCTGTCTCTTTTTCTCCTTCGTAAAACCAGAGTTCTGGAAAGGCAAGAGACCACTGTGGGCTTCTTCCTTCAATGTCATCTCACCCTTAGCGCTTCTACCTATTTAGAAAAAAAAATGTCCAGAATGTCCCTCCCTCCCGTAGCTCTGAGGAGACCGTGTGGAAGGGAGGAGCAAAAGGGAGCACTCACCTACACTAGATGTTCCTTGTTCCTTGAACTCACCTCCTTTTTACAATGTCTCTCTGTTGGCCCCTGCCCTGCACAGCTTGATCGCTCTGTGACTCAAGGCCTGAATGACAGCATCCAGCAGTACTACTTTGACAATAGCACCAAGGAGGCATGGGACTCCATCCAGAAATTTGTGAGTACAGGTGGGATCCTCTCCAGCTCAACCCTCGCTTAATTTTCCAACCTCAGTCCCTGGTGGCTCAAAGGGACTTCTTTTCCTGAAAGTTCCAGAATCTAAGGTCCCCGGCCCTAGGTCCAGAATATGTCCGGCTGTCACAAACAGAAGAGATGGGAACCGGTCTGATTGGTATCAAGGTGTCTCTATTTGCTCTTTCATCTCTTGCCAACTTTGATAGGTTCATTGTTTAAGCCCTACTAAGGAAGACCTAAACATGTCATACTAGATTACTTCATGTATTTTCCAAATTTTTTTCTGAAAACAGAAATTATATAATACAAGAAATCTCTTGAATTCCTGAGTAGCCTAAATCCTGCTTGTAACCTAGGCCCCCAGGACCCCATTCCTCATGCCCCATCCCCACCCACAAACACCCATAACTCTGTATCTATGCCTTGGTGTGTTGGTGGATAAAGGGTCAGGGAACCAGCCTGGTGCTGGCACAGCCTGTGTTGCATACAACATCGCTGTGCCCACATGGAGTCACCTGTGGCCCTGCCGTGCCTGCTCAGTGTGGAAAAGAAACAGCACAGGAATTGGAGCCAGACCAGGACTGGGTGGCCTTGGGACAGTCACCTAACCCCTTGGAATCCCTGATTCTTTCTTTATTTTTCAATTCAGCTTAGAAGCCTTTTTATTATAGAGTTTTCTGATATATGTAAAAGTAAAGAGAATAATAATGAAATGGATCCCTGGGTACCTATCACCCAGCTTCAACAGTTAACATTTTGCCAATGTGTCAGCTAACCCCCTCTTTGCTTTTTTGCTAGAATATAATAGAGCAAATTCTAGATGTTATGTCATCTCACCCACTAAATGTAAAGATAATAATCTTTTTTTTCAAAAGACAATTATTTTAGAACAGTTTTAGTTTTATAACAGAACACAGAGAGGTACAGAGATTTCCCATGTACTCTCTGCCCCACCACATGCATAGTCTCTCTCCTTCTCAGTATCGTTCACCACAATAATACTTTTGTTTTTTTTTTATCAAGGACCAATCTACATTTACACATAATTATCCCCCAAAGTTCATAGTTCACATTAGAGTTCACTCTCATTGTTGTATATTCTATGGGTTTGGACAAATGTATAACATTATGTATTCATAATTGTAATATTATACAAAGTAGTTTCATTTCCCTAAAAATCCTCTGTGCTCTGCCTGTTTATCCCCATCCTTGGCAAACAGTGATCTTTTCACTGTCTCCATAGTTTTCCCTTTCCCAGAATGTCATACTGTTGGAATCATATAGTAAGCAGCCTTTTAAAACTGGTTTCTTTCACTTAGCAGTATGCATTTAAGTTTCCTCCATGTCTGCCCATGGAAATTCATTTCTTTTTTGCTCCGAATAATATTCCATTGTCTGCATATACCATAGTTTATTTATCCATTCAACTACTGAAGGATATCTTTGCTTCCAAGTTTTGGCAAGTATGAATAAAGCTGCTATAAACACTCAGGAGCAATGTGTGGGGGAGGGGCATAAGTTTTCAACTCCTTCGGATAAATACCAAGGAGCATGATTGCTGGATCACACGGATGTTTACTTTTTGTAAAAGTCTTCCAAAGTGTCTGTACCATTTTTGCATTCTTACCAACAATGTATGAAAGTTCCTCTTGCTTCATGTCCTCACCAGCATTTATGTCAGAGTTCCAGATTTTGATCATTCTAATAGAAGTGTAGTGATATCACATTGTTTTAATTTGCAGTTCCCTGATGGCATACAATGTTGAAAATCTTTTTATATGCTTATGTGCCATCTGTGGGTCATTTTGGTGAGGTGTCTGTTAAGATCTCTGGCTCACTATATAATCAGTTCGTGTTCTTACTGTTGAGTTTTCAGGTTTCTTAGTATATATTTGGGTAACAGTCCTTTTTCACATGTGTCTTTTGATAATACTTTCTTCCAGTCGGTGGCTTGTTTTCTAATTCTCTTGATAAAGGCTTTTGCCAAGCAGAAGTTTTTAATTTTCATAAAGTTCAGTTTATCATTTATTTCTTTCATGAATTGTGTCTTTGGTGTTGTTTCTAAAAAGGTATCTCCATAACCAAGGTCATCTAGGTTTTCTCCTATATTATTTTCTAGGACTTTTAAAGTTTCTGGTATACATTTAGGTCTATAATTCATCTTGAGTTAATTTCTGTGTGGTGTGTAAGTTCTCTGTTTAGATTCTTCTTCTTCCTCTTTTTTTACTTGTGGTTGTCTGATTGTTCTGGTACCATTGAAGATACTATCTTTCTCCATTGTATTGCCTTTGTTCCTTTGTCAAAGATATATATATATACCTATTTCTGGGCTCTCTGTTCTGTTCCACTGATCTGTTTGTCTATTCTTTGGCCAATACCATACTGTCATAATCACTGCAGCTTTAGAATAAAACTTAGGGTTGGGTAATATCAGTTGTACAGCTTTAGTATTCCTTTCCTTTAGTATTGTATTGGTTGTCCTAGGTCTTATGTCTCTCTATATAAACTTTAGAATCAGTTGGTCAATATCTACAAAATAAGTTACTGGTATTTTGATTGGGATTGCATTGAATCTATAGATCAAGTTCTGAAGAATTGACATCTTGGCAATTATGACTCTTCCTATCCATGAACATGGGATATTTCTCCATTCACTTAGTTTTTTTTAAAAAGAAATTTGTTTATCAGAGTGTTGTGGTATTCTTCATATAGGTCTTGTGCATATCTTGTTAGATTTATACTTAAGTGCTTTATTTCAGGGGTTGCTAATGTATTGGGTTTTTTAAAATCATGATTATTACAGTTGTCTCAGTTTTCTGGGAAACTATTATTACAGTTGTCTCAGATTATTACTGCCTCTTTCTCCCTTGCTGCCTTTAGGATTCTCTGTCCTTGATATTTGTCATTTTAATTATGATGTGTCTGGGAGTGGGCCTCATTGGGTTCCTTTTGAATGGGACCTTCTGTTTCCTGGACTTGTGTGACTTTTTCTCTCCTCAAATTAGGGAAGTTTTCCACAATTACTTTTTCAAACAGGTTCTCTATCCTTTCCTCCTCTTCTTCTCCTTCTGGTATCCCTATTATACAAATATAATTATGTTTCAGGTTGTCCTGCATTTCCCTAAATGTCTCTTCATTCTTTTTGAGTCTGTTTTCATTTTCTTGCTCATTCTGGGAGCTTTTTTCTACCTTATCCTCCAGCTCACTGATTCAATCCTCAGCTTCATCTAGCCTGCTTTTGATTCCTTCAACTGTGTTCCTCAATTCAGAGACTGTATTATTCATTTCTTCTTGTCTCTTATTGATAGTTTCTATATCCTTTTTCATGCTGGTATAGTTTGCAGTAAGTTCCTTGTAGATTCCCTGTAGTTTTTTGTAATTCTCTTTGAGCTCACTGAGTTCATTGAGCTTCCTTAGAACAATTGTTTTGAACTCAATATCTGATAGTTGATTTGCCTCTATTTCCTTTAGTTGTCTTTCTGGGGATTGCTCCTTTCCCTTCTATTGAGGGGTGTTTCTTTGTCTTCCCATTATTTGTGAGGCTCTTCATTTTTGCTTCTGCTTCTTAAATTGATTTGTCTTGATTTCCTGACTTTGTGGCATGAACTTCTATGGTAGGAGGCTGCTGTTTATTCTTTCTGGATCTGCCTCAGGTGATGTCAGATGTTGACCCTGTCTGACCTTAGGCAGTCTGTTTGAGACTTCCAGGAATCTACTGTCTGCGGCTGCCTCCTGCAGCTGTTAATCTTGTCACGCTGCACTCAGCAGTCAGGCTTAGGCACCACAGGGTTGGTCAGAGTCCCTCCTGAGGAGAGGTTATTGGGTCCACTCAGGGGAGTTGCCTGCCTGAGCCACATGGTTGCTGCTGTATGGGGAAGGAGTCAGCACAGGGATCTCTCTGGCTACTCTCTCAGTTCTCTCCCCAAAGCCTCCTTCCTCAGTCTCTCCTCAGGCATCGCTAGCCCACTCTGCCCCTGCCTTTTCCAGAGACCAGGGTAAATGGCAGTTAGGTTGTGCTAATGCTGATTCTTCTGTATGTCCAAGGTTATAAGGCTCCTCTCTCACTATTGTTCAGTTGTTTGTTCCAGGTGATTTCTCCACAATTAAGTTGTAATTCCAGATCGGTCCTGAGACGAGGTCAGTGTGACTTCCATTCACTCCTCCACCATCTTGATTTCTCTAATGTATTGTTTTTTTAATGTCAAATTCTACTTATTAATTGTTGGCACATAGGAAAGCTATTGAATTTTACCTATTAACCTTGTATCCTGTGACATTACTACAATTACTTATTAGTTTCAGGAGTTTTATGTTGATTCTTTTGACTTTTCTTCATAGACAATCATATCATCTGTGAACAAAACCAGTTTTATGTTTTCCTTCCAATGTGTATACCTTTTTTTTTTTTTTTTTGCCTTATTGCATTAACAAGGACTTCTGGATGATGTTAAAAAGAAGTGCCTCACACCTGATCTTAATGGGAAGCTTCAAGTTCTCACCATTAAGAATGATGCTAACTGTTGGGTTTTTGTAGATTGTTTTTTAAAGCAAATTCCCTTCTATTCCAACTGTGAAGATTTTTTTTTCTTGAATTATGAAGGGTGTTGAGTTTTGTCAAATGCTTTTTATGTATCTATTGATATAATGGTGTGATTTTTCTTTTTTAGTCTTTTGATGCAACAGATTACATTAATTGATTTTCCAATGTTGAACCAGTCTTGGTTCAAGTTTATTGTGATGAGAACACTTAACATGAGATCTATCTTAACATTGTTTAAAACAATTCATTATTTTTGACTATAGGTACAATGTTGTACAGAAGATCTCTAGAGGTTATTCACTTTTAAACGTTGAACCAGCCTTTCATACTTTTTAAAAATTCAATTTATTAATATTTTGTTGAGAGTTTTTGCTTCTACATACACTAGAGACTTTGGTCTATAGTTTTCTTTTCTTGTAATGTCTTTGTCTGACTTTGGTATTAGGGCAATGCTGTCCTCATAAAATGAATTAAGAAGTATTTGTCCTGCCTTTATCCTCTGAAAGAGATTGTAGACAATTGGTATAATTTCTTCATGAGGTGTTTGGTAGAATTTGCCAGTGAATCCACCTAGACCTGGTTCTTTCTGTTTTGGAAGATTATATATTATCGATTCTATTTCTTTAATATATATAACCCTATTTAAATCATCTATTTCTTCTTGTATGAGTTTGGCAGATTATATTTTATAAGGAATTGGTCCGTTTCATCTAGGTTATCAAATTTGTGGGCATAGAGTTGTTCATAGTACTTCTTTATCATCCTTTTTATCTGCATGGGATTGGTTGTGGTGTCCTCTCTTTCATTCTGACATAGTAATTTGTGTCCCCCTTTTTTTTCTTTTTTTTTACTTAGCCTGGCTAGAAGCTTATCATTCTATCGATCTTGTCAAAGAACCACCTTTTGGTTTTGTTGATTTACTTTATTGATGCCCTATTTTCAATATCATAGATTTCTGCTGTAATTCTCATTATTTCTTTTTTTCTTCTTACTCAGATTTAATTTGCTCTTTTTTTTCTGGTTTCCTAAAGTGGACTTAGATTATTGCTTTTAGATAATAGTTCTAATATTTTCATTCAATGCAATAAATTTCTTTATTAACACTGCTGTTGCTGCATCCCATGAATTTTTATAAGTTGTATTTTCATTCCCATTTACTTAAAATATTTTTAAATTCCCTCTGAGATTTCTTTTTTGACCACGTGTCCTTTAGAAGGATATTGTTTAACCTTCATGTAAAATAACTTCTTTTGAATAATAACACCTAAAATTTTTAAGTAATTTTTTACTATCACTAATAAATGGCCTATAATTAAATTACTTTAAAACATTAGTTTTTATTGGTTTCTTCAAATCAAAATCCAAACTCGGTCCACTTGTTACATTTGAATGATACGTCTCTCTAAATGTTTTAAAATTTATAATAGTATCCCTCTTGGTTCATGCTATGTATTTGTGAAAAGAAGTTATGTTGAATGTTTTATAGAATTCTCCACATTCTGGGTCTAGCTGGTCACTTTCTCAAGGTATTTTAGTCTCAGAGAGCCTGCATCTCCATACTTGTGAATCTGGAAGTGTGATGCAGGTTCCATTAGTGATGAAGTACAATAGGAAATTGCTGATATTTCCTACTACATCGTGCAAGCAGGCATATAATGTCTGATTGTCCTCCCTTCTGTGACCTTAAGACTGGGTAGTGGGTCTAGGTGTGGTCAGCTTCATCTCTCCATGGCAAAGTCTCCTGTGTGCCTAATTTTTGATCTTTAAAGTGTGAATAAATTAAACATGCCCTCTCTACTTCAAGGAGTCTTCGTGAATGAAATAATATAATGGGTTTGAAAGCATTTTGTTCTCCAGAGCTATAATAGTCAGCCCAATTCTGGATCTTCTGCTATACAGTCAGATGTGAGGGGCCCACATTTCCTCCAAGACCCACAGTTTTCATTCTGTTGACTTTCTAATAATCCCATTTTTTGTGGGGGGGTTTTGGTTTTCAGCTGCACTGTTGTGGTGTAAATGGCACAAAAGATTGGGCCAGCAATCCACCAGCTTCTTGCCCTTCAGTCCCACAAGTTGAGGTAATTTTTTTGGCAACTTTTCTGTTATTGGCCTCTGTAATTGGATGTTTAATTACCTTAGACACTCCAGTCATATAGGACCCAGTCCTCCCAGCCAGAAACAGGGAACCTTGAACAAAATAGAGACCAGGGAGATAACCCAGGTAACTAGACAAATCAGAAAAAAAGCACTGACGACAAGGTCATTTAGACTAGAGACACCATTAAGACTATTGCTGTCCTAAACTATTACATTTGAGGGGGAAAGTTTATGTGATAGTGGCAAAGGATTATGTCTAGATTTTTCTTGAACAAGAAGTAGGTTTGTTTGTCGAAAGTGAAATCTATAAGGTTGAAAGTGAAATCTATAAGGTTGAAGTCAAAAAGCTTCTCCCGCTACCTATTTCTCTCCTCTCCTTCCTTGGAGCTGCCAGGATCCAGGCCCTTAGTGAAATGAATCCTAAGTGAAGGAATGAGGAGTTGGGGGAGAGAAAGTTGGTGGAACCGTGAAAACCACCTGCCCACATAATTTGCACCTTCAGACTAGGCCCAGAGAAGAAGTCAAAATGATCTTCCAACTCAACCAAGTCTTTAAGGTCCTGTTGCCCCATGTTACCCACTCTTGCAGTTGTTTGGAAATCTCTGGAATTTTGTAAGTTTCTGAAGAAAGACTGGGACACCTACCAACTAGAAACTACCCTGGAGCTTAACACAAACTACCTTCCCAAATAAGCCTCTTGATAAAGTTGAATAATATAGTGGTATCATTTGTACTTATAATTTGTTCTAGGGTTGCTATGGCAAAGCAAAAATGTGGTTCCAGTCCAACTTCCTGTATATTGGCATCGTCACTATCTGTGTGTGTGTGGTCGAGGTAAGAGCTTAACTGCAGGGCTAGTTTAAGGATTAAATGATTTAAGTCACATGAGGTTTCAGAAGAGTACCAGTTACATAATATGTGCTCAATAAATGTGAGCTCCCCAGCCAAGTAGTAAATAATGTTATTACCAACTGAAGGCATAGAGAAAATATGCTGTAAGATCTATCTGGTCAGCTTATCCTTAAGAGAAAAGCTTGTGATGTACGAAACATTCCACTTGGAAAATTAGCTTTGTATGTTAAGCAGGAATTGGTGATGAAAATTATAATCAATTTCCTTGTTTCTCTGCTTAGTTTGACATATCAGGAATCAATTGGGCGTAGCTTTGTGTTCTTTTTCATGTGATATTTCTACCATTTTTATACCCAAGTGTTTCGGATGTAGGACAGATTAGCTAATATTTAATCAAAGAGCTCAGAAACAAAAATTTTGTTGTCTGCTTGGAAACCAAGAAGGTTTGGACCATGGGCAGAGATGACTCACTGCATGAAGTGTGGACTTGTGCAGAATGTGCCTGTACCAGCAGCAGGGCTTCTTAATAAGCCTTCTTAATGACGTCTTAAGGAGATGGGAGATGTCCCAATACTTCATACTCCACTGTCTTGCCATCATCACTCCCACTTGCCTCCCCACTGCCATTTGAAAGCTAAAGGAGACAACACCTGAGAAGGAATTGAAAGTGGAGGCAGGAAGGGCAGTCTCAGTGTGATGAACACTTTATTTACTTTGGGGCTGATCTCAGAGGTTGCGGGAGGGATGGCCCCTTCTATAAAGATCTTATATTTTATGAATTCTTTTCTCAGGTGTTGGGGATGTCCTTTGCGCTGACTTTGAACTGCCAGATTGATAAATCCAGCCAGGCCCTTGGGCTGTGACCTGCTACTGCCTTTGCTGAAAAGACTTGTTTCATCTCTGGAAATCCAAAACCACCTACAGCATGAAAGCCTAATGGTCACCTTCCAGATTGACATCTTTGTCCCCCTCTCACCTCTTCCCTGTTTTGGTCCCTGTTTCACACAACCAGAGAAGAGGGTGTTGGCCAGGCACTTCCCACCTCAGAAAGCAAGATATTCACCCACTCATCGTGGCAGCCATGTCACTCAAAGCAGTGACACTAATATCTGAACATTTTTTAGACACAAGAGACTAAGAGAACCTGTGGCACTAATAGCTCACAATCAAAGGATGGGTGTGGGACTTAAATTTTTGCATCTTCCCATTGTCAAACAAGTTTCTTGTCTCTGAATCAAGCAAGAGACAAGCTAAAGGGACCTCTGGAGCCAGACCTACTGGATCATTGTCACAACCCTATTTCCTTTAGACTGTGAGTCTTTGCGACAGAAATGATGGAGTACTCTTTCTTCAGACAGCGAGGTTTCATTTCAATCTCATTCATTTATTCTGTCTCTCCAGAGGAAACTATCTGATCATTCACATCCTGACTTCAGCCAATCTCTTAGCCTTTGATTTACATAACTGTGGAGGAACTCAGCAGGACCAGTATCTCTCATGGTTCAGTTGATAATCACATTCAGAAGAGTTCTGCTCTGACTGGTGTGGCTCAGTGGATTGAGTGCCGGCCTGCGAACCAAAGGGTCGCTGGTTCGATTCCCAGTCAGGCCACATGCCTGGGTTGCAGGCTAGGTCCCCAGTAAAGGGTGCATGAGAGGTAACCATGCATTGATGTTTCTCTCCCTCTCTTTCTCTCTCCTTTCCCCTCTGTCTAAAGATAAATAAAATCTTTTTTAAAAAGTGTTCTGATGTTATTTCTTTACCACATAAGGTTTTTGTTAATGTACTATTTTAGCTCTTTAATAAATAAAAGAGCTTATTATCTCAATCACTATATTCCCATTCCAATATCTCAAACACACGTTTCCTGGCTCAGACCGATTGCCTCGCCAGCAAGTCAAGAATATTAATTATCTATGGCTGTGTAACTACCCAAAACTTAGTGGCTGAAAACAATAGTCATTCTCTCACAGTCTGTGGGTCATGAATCTGGGAGTAGCTTAGTTGGCTGATCCTGGTCCGTGATCTCTCTTCTGACGACAGTGAACAAGTCAGCCGTGGCTGCAGTCATCTCAAGGCTCACCCAAAGAGGATGAACTTTCAAGCTCTGCCACGTGGCTCTTGGGAGGCTGCAGTTCCTTGCTGCTTATGCATTTCCACAGGGCTGCCTTATGACATGACAGCAGGTTTTCTGCATGGCAAGACGTTCAAGAGAGAGCGTGAAATGCTGCACTCAAAACAAGCCAAAGTCCTTTCATAACCTAATTCAGGAATGTCATCACAACAATGCTGCCATATTCTAGTCCTCAGAGTAAGGTGAAACATTCAACACCGCCGTAGGGAGGAGACAACACGAAGGTGTGTGCGCTCTGGGGTGGATAGCCCTGGGGGCTCTCTTAGAGGTGGCCAACCATAGTGTGTTTGTTGGATCGGGAGAAGTTAAACTGAATTGTCTATAAGCTGAATTGCATTATCTATGTGATAATCACATTTTGTAAAGGAAATGCAGAGAACATATCTCATCCAGAGCCAGAGGCAAGAAAGTGAAAGAAAGAGATGGAAGAATTGGTTTCTATTCTCAAAAGTTGTGTAGAATCTTGCCACTTCTCTTTAAGAGAAATTGGTCATTTTAGTAGTAGTTTTTCAGGAAAACTACCTCATCTTTTGCACTTTCCGGAGGCAAAGAAGTTTGCAGTGTAGACATTTTCATAAGTATCACAAGTATCAATAGTGTCTCACGTGCAACGTGTACAAAAGGACATGCATCTTCCAAATCTACTCCTCTTCTTTGTTCCCCATGTTAGTGAGTGATAATGCCACCCTCCCAGCTGCCCTAGCCAAAACCTGGGCTTTGTCCTTAACTCTAGCCTGCCTTTCACTTCCAATACCCGGTGAGTCATGAAGTTCTATCGATTAACCTACAAGACATCAAATCCACCCATTACCTTCATTTTATTTCTGACCTGTATTCCTTCAGTAGTCTACTATCTTTTCTCCTAATATCCCATCTTGGTCCCAACTAAACTGTTCTTCATACAGCAGCCAAAACAATATTTCTAAAACATAATCAAGATGCGTTTCTGCTTGAAGCTCTTCAATAACTATGTTTCTCTTAAGATAAAGTTTGGGTTCCTCATTTTGCCTATCAGGCCCTGCATGATACGTCCCTGCTCTTAGCTCTCCAGCCTCACATCTTGCCATTCTCATTCTTATACTATGAGACCATATAATTTTACCTATTATGTGAGAAAAGCAATAAAGAAATGAACAAACAAACAAGACCAAAAAACTCATAGACACTGACAACCACATGGTAGTTACCAGAGGTGTAGGAGTTGGGGGATGACAAAGATGGTGAAGGGGGTCAAATATATGGTGACAAAAGACTAAACTCTGGGTGAGGAGCACGCACTGGTGACGCATCATAAAGTTGTTCAACTGAAGTTTATATAATGTTATTAAACAATGATACCCCAATAAATTTAAATTAAAAATAGGGATAAAAACAAAGCACTATGAACCAAGGGAAGAAACAAATGATAGAAAAGGACCCACAAATATAAATAGCTATATTTTTCTAAATACAAAAATAAAGAACAGCTTTAAAATATGTGCAGAGAAGAAATTAAAGATTAAGTATTTTGAAAACTGAAAATATAACAATTTTAGAAATTTTAGAAACTTGAATATGTGAAGCAGGAGATGTGATACAACTAAATAGAGATTAATAAACAAGAATCTGTATGAGGAAATTAATCAGAATATAGCTGCAGTGTGTTGAATTAGGTCCTCAAAAAGATATGCCCAAATCCTAACCCCTGGTATCTGTGAATATAACCTTATGTAGAAATAGAGCTTCTTTTGTGTGTGGATGTGATTAAGTTAACAATTTTGGTATGAGATCATCTTAGATTTCGACTGGGTCCTAGATCTGGTGTCCTTACGAGAAAAAGGGGACGAAGATTTGAAACGCAGACACAGAGGAGAAGACCCACAGACACAGACAAGAAGCTCCCAACTCCCAGATTCTCCTCAAGGAGTTAAGGATTTAGACCTCACAAAAGTTTAGGCCCCAACTTTTAAGAGCCCCATCAGAGGAGTGGGCTTGGAAAGCACCTCGCTCCAAAGCCTCGTGTGCAAGAGACCCACAAGGTTATGTCCTACAAAAAAGCGGTTCCTAGCGGGCGCGTGAGCATTCACCAAGGCTCAGCACAGAGGAAGAAGGCAAAATCACCCAACTCCCAGTTTTTCTCTGAAAGAAGGATATCTGCCTGTTTTAAAAGCTTGTATGAAGGCCAGTCTTTCAATACAGCAGATGCTAGCATATGGCTGCAATACTCCCCCCAAAGCTAGGGAGGACGGCACACATATCTTGCCTTTTCCCTCCAGCCCACTTTAAATTGCCAGCATCTGACTGAAAGTTTCTGGTACACCTGCGTGCGCTGCAGCTTCCACAGCTTCCACCCAAGGGATGTGTCTCTGGGTCACCTGGCTTTGGTAACCCAAGGGGCTTCCGTTCCCAAGTCCCACAGCACAGAAAGCAGAGAAATTATTCCTGACAGACTATGTCCCAAGGCTTAGAGCAGAGGGAGCAGGCTAAACCACGCATCGCCCAGTCTTTCCCGGAAAGAGGTTGATCTGCATGCTTTAAAACCGGCTGCCTGAAGGCCAGGCTTCTAATGCAGCAGGCACCCAGCGCTGGCTGCAGTCCTCCCCTGGACTGGGAATTCCATGTTCTCCCTCCACCTGACCCTGTAATAAAACTAAGCCAGCAATACCTCCCTGAAAGGGGTTTGTATACATATCTGGTGCCACAGTGTTTGCAGGTCCCGCCTGAGGGCAGACTCACCAGAATGTCCACTCTGATGGCCGGTGGGCCTTGCATTTATGGGTCTCACAGGACTGTAAGAAACAAAAAAACTCCACTTCTTAGCAGGTGCCGGAACACCCCCTCCTCCATAGCTATCCACCCTGAGTCAGCACAGAGGGAGCAGGCAAAATAGCCACCTCCCTATTCTCCAAAGGGACTTAAACACATACTTTCCCAGCTGATACCCGAGGGTCCAGCTTCTTCTAATCAGCCTGCATCTGGATGCTGACTGCGATCCTCCCCTTTGGGACAATGATGTGTCTTGCCACAACCTAGACTATTGGGTGCCACTGAAAACAAAGAAGGACATTTAGACCATCATAAAAGTTTGAGAGACAACTAGGAGCTTGGGCCAGGCTGGCCAATGAGATTCTTCTCCTATATCAAGACTGGGAGAGGTGGCTATTTTATGTGATGCATAGGAACCAACAGAGGCAGTCAAGAAAAAAATGAAGAAACAAAGAGATACCAAATAAAAGAACAAGATAAATGTCTAGAAACAGAAATTAATAAAAAAGAGTAAGTGATTTACCTGATAGTTGAAAATAGCAGTCATAATGGTGCTCACTGAGGTCAGAAGAGCAATGAAAGAACAAAGGGAGAATTTCAGTGAAGAGATGGGAAATATTTAAAAGTATCAAACAGAAATCACAAAGCTAAAAATAAAATGACCACAAAAATTCAGGAGAGGGGTTCAACAACAGACTAGGTCAAGTGAGAGAGAAGATAAGAAATTTGGAAGACAAGAGTAGAGTTCTTCCTCTTTCCTTTTTTAACTCCTTTTCATTGGCTGCACTGGTTCTGGATTGCCGCCAACAGTGCATGAGGGTTCCTTTTCTCCACATCCTCATCAGCACTTGCTGTTTGTTGATTTATTGATGAGCACCATTCTGGCAGGTGGGAGGTGATATCTCATTGTGGTTTTAATTTGCATCTCTCTGATAATCAGTGACATTGAGCATTTTTCATATGTTTATCGACCATCTTCTTTTGCCTATTTCTTAATCGGATTGTTTGTCCTCCTGTTGTTGATTTGTGTAAGTCCTTTCTTTAGAGACTATTTAAAAACTCGATTGAAGGCATTACAGAAGACAGAACAAATAGAGAAATGTACCATTCTTAGAGATTCTATCAATCAGCATTGTATACATGTCAGTTATCTCCAAATTAATCTATTAATTATATTCATGCCCAATACATGTCCAACAGATTGCATTATGGAATTTGACAAGATATTTCTAAAGTTTATATAAAAGTGTCAAAGGATAAAAAATGCCAAGATACTTTTGATGAGAAGTGAGAGGGTACTTGCCATGATTTATGAGAGGGACTCCCCAAAAAACTGAATGTTTTTCTGGAGGGTGGTCCCCTTGTCATACAGGGTTCCCCCGCCAGGAGAGTGTTCTAGGAACTCATCTGTATCAGTGCACCAGCCGGCATTGTTGTAAGAGGCTGGGTTTGGCTTCAGCGAATTTTTTTTGAAGACCCTTTCAATGCAATTGCTCATTTCATGATGGGTGACTTATGAACACACCTGTCCACACTGCACTGAGTTTTCAACAGTTTTTGACCAATAAAGGCATAACCCCCAAGCCCTACCCCTCGCTGTTCACCTGATCTTGCCCTGAACAACTTTTGTTGTTGTTGTTTCTCTGCATGAAAAAAGTCATCAAAGAGAAATGTTTTTGCTGAAGCAGAAGAGGTGAAACAAAAAATGGCAGAAGCACTAAAAGGCATCAAAATCAATGAGTTCAAAAACTGTGTTGAGCAGTGCAAGAAACATCTCAATTGGTGTATCACATCAAATGGAGAGTACTTTGAAGGTGACTGAAATATATACATGTAAGTACACAATTTTTTATAAATAAATTGTTTTTTGGGTTCCCCCTTGTGTATTAAAGCTATTGTAATCAAGACACAAGTATTCACTGAGACATAG